TGTCGAGTGGTAAAAAAAAAACATTTTTCTTATTATTACGATTGGTTTCAGTATTGTAGTAGCACTGTACAATTGTCCCTGAATCAACAGGCACTGTAGATTGGATAATGATAGGAAGATCTTTCCTTTAAAATAAACTTCTGTAAAAAAATTGACTTGAATGTATACTATTTTATCTGGAAAAGAAATTTCCACTCTAGTCTTCTATCTAATTTGTATGAAACATAAAAGCAGAAAAGAAAATTGGAACTTGGAGAGGTAAACTTAGGGGTATAATCGCGTTGTATTGACTAGGATTTGAGGTGTTCTGAAGTTCAGACCAGAGTCCTAACAATTCCCTCTCTTTCCTCTTTCACGCCTTGTTTGATTCCTGATCTCTCTGGATTTATCTTTTTCAAGCTAAACACAGCAAATATAATCAAACAGCTTCTGCTTTATATACTTGATCTTTGAAGTGAGCTAAACCGAGCCAAACATAGCCTATTTTGATGTGATGACACTAACAATCTTAAAAAGTGCAGGTTGTCCTTTAGACTAAGGTGTTCCAACCAAGCATCAACAGCGATGGCACATTCTCAAGGAACGATGGAGCCCAACACTAACCATTACCAAGGTTTGATTTTACTTTGCTTGTTCATTTTCATATTTATTAGTTTTACATAAAGATTGCAGTTGTATTCAACTTTCTGATAGAAGCCAGACCAATTTTCTGAATCACCGTGTCATATTTTGTCTGTAATAAGCTAAATTACTGCATGTGTGAGTATTGGAACATAGTACAAGTTGTGTTGAGTAATTGCTGGCTACAGCTAAAAGTAAAAAATTCCAAGCTAATAGTGCTATTGGGACCGAGGGTTGAGAAATGGTAGCTTATAAGTAAATGAACAGAGGTTATATATTTGATGTGTAAAAACTGTCTATTAGGACATGCATGAGAGATTTTCTATTCCATAACTTCAAAACTGTGTATGTATGTATGATTGTCTGATCAAAGTTTTCAACTTCTGAACTGTTTGTTGACTTGAAACTTCTGATTATATAGTGAAGAAATTTTGATTATTTGGAAACTAATTCCACTATTGTCAGGCCCTTTAGTCAAATGGTTTAATTTTTTTGAAGGATCCCAACAACAATGATCTACTTGTACCTGAAATTTCACACATTCACAAGACAAAATCATGCCATGGGATGATGATCATAGCGGTGTGTTAGCTGTTAAAATGAAGCAGCAAAGTCATTATTTATGTAAAAGAACAAAATATTTTCAAACGAATTTGAATACTTTCTCTTATTATTACCAATTTCTGGGGACAGGAGAATGTAGAGTTATGCAAACTTTTCGGCAGGTTGAGTTGATATTCCAAACAAGTAACAGTAATACAATCATTACAAGTTAGGCATAATTTTGAAAAGAAAAATGAAATTGTGATGTGAGCATATAGTCAATATACAGCATAGAGTTTTATGCATTAGGGGCAGAGAAGAAGTAATTAAATTAACTAAAATCTTGGTTAGATATTAGTATGTTATGGTGGAAGTGGATGTCGCAGACAAGAAGGTATTGATATTTAGTAAGGTCTGTGTTTGAACATTATTTTGATGGAGACGGTCCAACCTCAAAATTGTGACAATAATTTGGAATATATTTGTCCTTTGGTATAAACAAAAGGAAAGTTGAATCACTTGGTGCGTGTTTATTGTGCGCTTCATACTCGGAAAACGAAAGGCATGGTATGGATATGTTCAATTATAAGGGGCTAAGGCTATAGAGATTTTTGTTTTTCACTTCATGTTGCCGTGATGTGATGCTGCAGAGGAAGAAGCCTTTCGCTTGTATTCTTCCCACTTTACTAATTCATGTCATTCCTATTAAAAAAATGGTTGAATCATGATTAATTTCCGGTGTTCCCTTTGCCAAATCATGCAGTGAAATTAGGTAGATATCTGAATACAGTTGAAGGGTCAGGTTGACCTGTGATTTAAAATTTGTGGTGCATGGAAAATGCATAGCAGAGTGTGACACGTTTGCGATGAGGTCATAAGAAGTTGCTACAATTTAAAACTGAGTGGTTAATACAAATTTGAAAGACTTAGAAGAAAAGTTAGCAAAAAAAGTAATCAAAAAGACTCTTGACTTGGTTGACAAGCAAATTGCGGGGTCACTCTTATTGTCAAATGTTTTTGCTCTCCAAGAAGGGTAACACCACACGTGTTTAACTATCTAGCACCTTTTTTCGCCTTTGCTTCTTCTTCAAGCCAAACAAACCCTAAATAAACCTTTTTAATTATTCTTCCTTATTTCTATCAAACACACCGGTTAAATTTGATCTCATATCTAAATTAAGTGGGGTTTGAATTTTAGTTTCGGATTGAAGTTAAAAAAAAAAAAGTAATTATCTCAAGCTAGTTTATGTTTGATCTAAGTTTTGCATTTAACTAAATCCTTAAAAAAAGCTAAACATGTTGACCCGATATTTAGTAGAAACCAAAAATTAAAATGGGTTTTGGTTGTTGCAACTGAACTCTAAATACGCTCTAATAATCGAATTGACAGTTCAAACAAAATATCGAACTCTTCAAACAATTTTGAATTTTTCTTGGTACCCATCTCATTTTGAAGCCTGTTTTTTAGCAGACTGATTCGATTCCGTCAAAATAGTTGGTTTTTAAAAGTAGTCTGATTTTAAGAACTAAACTAAGAAACAGATTAACTCTGTTTTCATTCAAGATAATGCAGGTTTTTTAGTTAATTCAGTTTATCTTTTAATAGCTATTTTAATAAAGCATGCAGAGTCGTTCTGATCTGACTAAAAATTTCAACTGGTTGAACTGTTAGTTACTGGTCCACCTCAAGGAAATTATAGTCATTACCCGCATGCTAGCTAGGAAGAACTAACTTCATTGTTATGTTCACGGTTTAAAATTGAACTTTTTCATACCACACCCATAAGAAATTTAGAATAGGTGATGGTAAACGAAGATATCTAATATATTAAAAATTTGTTGAACTCTTGCTATTTTAAGCAGATTGAAAAATTTAATAAGATGTATCATTGTTTTTACAGTATATATTCGTAAACATATAATCGATAATAAGCTCTGGCTTTGAAATTTGAGCAAATAATTTCTCCATAAAACGCCATTTAAAAGCGACAATTGATCTTAAAAGAAGGGTCCATGTCTGATTATGATAGTTGGAATTAAGAAAGGAAGAAGAAGAGGCAGCAAGACACACGTATCTGACGATTGAGAATCGTTTGGTTTGCCCTTCGAACAACGCAGAGGTTGTCAGATAGAGCGAGGGGAGACATGGGTGTGTCATGGTCTTCCCAGCTTTGTGTTTTGTTTTATTTTAGTTTATGCTATCAAAACATTTTTTTCAGTATGTCAGACATAAAATAAAGTGACTATTAATGAAAACGACCAATTTTTTTCCACTTGTTTGAATTACAAAGTTGGTAAAAGAAAAATAAAGCTTTGTTACGTAAGTTTTGTTGAGTATCTTCATGCCTATATTTTAGCTCTGTTTAAAGTACGTAAAGCCTCGATTAACCGTAATCATGCAAATCCTTGTTTGTTCCTTTCATACTTTGAAAAGTACACATACCATGTCATCTGTAAGGAATTTAAAATCACCATAATTAATTCAACCAACTGACTCTTATCACTTTCTTACATTTCTTTTTATCACATATAATACATGTAATTCTTTTTCTTCTTTCTAATTTTCTCCAGGTATGAATTTGCATTATTTTAGTGTGCATGGATGGTTTTCAACGAAATCGTTTAAACAGTAAGAGCTTCTCCAATAGCAGATTCCTAGTTGGAAATCCAATTGCGGTAAGTGTATTGCGGTTTGAGGTAAAAAATAGGAAAAAGAAAGTTTTTCGGGCACCACACAAATTCGGTTTGGTTGGTGAAATACAATCCGTGCACGATGATATTTCGACCTTTTTGTTGCAGATAACTAATGCTTACAGCGGGGCAGTGTCCTGAAACCTCTGCCCAGACAAATGCTGCAGAAGTTTGTACTGAAAAGACTATGTTACAGCCTCATCATGAGTTGGACTAACCCAGCCCAATACCGTCCTTGCTAAATCATAATAACTTTTCATCAAACATTGTTTGGAGAGGTGAAACAGAAGAAATACGGTCAAAACAACACATAATTGATTTATGGATTTAACTTAATCAATTGCATGATTAAACTCTTGTCGAGATTTTTAAGAAACACAATCATCTGTGTATGTTAGTTTATGTTAGCGAAGAGGTTCGACCTTTGGTGTTTTAGTTGGATGACGGTCGTGGGTGATTGGACCGCGTTGGCAAAAACAAGGAAGGCACAGAGATTGACACCAAATTCAACGCTTGGGAAAAAGTTTCCAAGTCGGGGCTCGTTAATTGCGTTTGGCGTGGTGCGAGGGAGCTAAGCTTGACCAACGTGTAAAGTTGGGAGAGTTTTGGTTAGACCCTCTTTCTCTAACCCCTTCACTGTATATGAAACCGTATATTGGGGTGGTGAAAAAGGTTGAAAAGTCACAGATAAAGTTCACATGAGGCAGCATCACACATGCCCCATCAGGAAGCACGCCCTTGTGCACATAAGGCCCGCTGGAAGTAAAAGAACAAAATTAAAAATTAGGTAGGGTTTAAAAGGAGACGATGATGAATTTTGAAGAGTAAAAAAGGTGAAAGGGTTAATTGGGGGAGTGGGAGTAGGAATATGTTAGTGGGATTTTGATGTTGTATAAGAGTAAGAGTGGGATTTTAGTTGAGGAAACGGACATCATAGAAGGAAGGGAAACATGGGTTGAGACACGTCATCACTGGCAGCTGGAACATGGAACTTATGATTTTTCTACTCCCCGACAAGGACACATTCACACACACTCGCAGGTCACCACCCTCCACTCACACACTCACACTCCTTACCTCACTCCAATGACTCCAACTCAATTTCCCTCTTCAATACAAAACCCCACCCTCACGAGAAAAATGTTTTTCACACCCTAACCCTTCCACAAACACTACTACCCCGTGCACTATAAATACCCTTTACCCTATACCCTTTCATCTCGTTTTCTTCTCCGTTTTCTCCATCCTTCCACTCTCTCTTCGCTCCGGTTACCCTAAACACATCTTTCCTCTCCCTTCCCGCCAAAACCTCCCCTCTCATCACCACCAAGCCTTCAATTCTTGAACCTTCTTTTTCACTATCTTCTTCACTAACTAAATCACTCACTCACTCACGCTTACCCCGTGTGTGTGTGTGTTAGATCCTTCCACCAAAAGCGGAGTGAGATTTCATTTGAAGCGTATCCAAGGTTGGCCATATTCTCTTCTCTCTCTCTCTTGGAATATATCTCCAGAAGAAAAGCAAAAGTTTGTTAGTTGTTACCCATAAACATCTCGGTTTCTTTCTGCATCACCAACACCAAAAGTTCTCAAACGTCTCAATTCCCCCAGCATATACATCTACTTGTCCACTTTTCCCCCATACCCTCTAAATTCTTTCGCCCTTTAAACCCACCCTTCATGCACTCCACCACCACACCACAACTTTCCCTCTTCCACCTCTTACTCTCACACTCACTCAAAAATAAACAACCTTGACACAAAAACACACTCCTCACCCTTCAATTCTTCACTTTCTTCCATCTCTCTCTCAATCCTTTAGACATGTCCGTACACTCAACACTGAACCTCCACCCCATCGACCCCGCCACTCCAAATTCCAATTTTGATGATAACCCACCATGCAAAACCAAGACCAAAACCCAAAGGAGGCTCCTTCGGATCATAATCACCGACCACGACGCCACTGATTCTGACTCCGACGACGAACAACGACAAAACAATCCAACAACGAGGAAAGTGAAGAGAGAAATTACCCAAATCAGCATGCACCTTCCTCTCCCGGACAACTCCCTTTCTTCTTGTTCGTATTCTTCTGGTTTAGCTTCTGCTTCCTCTTGTTCCTCCGAACAAGTCTCAAAGTGCAGAAGGCCCAAAAAACCTCCACCACCCTCCGAAGCGGCCCGCCGCCGCAGCAAGTTCCGCGGCGTCCGTCAGCGGCCGTGGGGTCGATGGGCCGCCGAGATCCGCGACCCGACCCGCCGGAAACGCCTCTGGCTCGGAACCTTCGACACGGCGGAGGAAGCCGCCACAGAGTACGACAAAGCCGCCGTCAAACTCAAGGGTCCCAACGCCGTCACCAATTTCCCCCTCACAAGGCCGCCCCCGGTGGAGTCTCCTTTCGCCGCCATCGACAGCCTCAGCACCGACGGCGGCGCGTCGTACTCCGACCTGGTGGCCTCGCCGACGTCCGTTTTGACCTACGACTGCGACTCGACGCCGTTCGACAGTTACCATTACGGCGACGTGGACGCGCTCGGGTTCCACATCGACGCGCCGTTAAGTCTGGCGGACGTTGACGTCTCGCTTACGTGTCATCCCTATAAGGAGGAGGAAGAGGCGTTCGATGAATTCGATCTCGACGAGTTCATGAAGTGGCCTTACTAAAAATCTCAGGGACAGTTTGGTAATTGTGCGGTGTTTGCCCATTGATGCAGTGTGAAAGTTGAAATTCCGAATGTGCCCCTTTCGGTGTTGGAGTTTGAAATTTTGTCGTACTCATTGGATCTTTGGAAGAGTGTAGAGTTGTAGTCCCATTCTACTACCACCTGAAACGGCGATTCTTTATGTCGTATTTGGCAGAATTTAATTTGTAATTATCATGAAAAGTTAAAAAAAAATTAAGTGTCAAAAGCAGTGATTGAGAAGCAGATCAGCTAAGCAAGGATTATATTGTAATTGGTATATAAATTTTGATAATTATTTAAAGAGATTTTGATATTATCTATATAGAATGATGGGTTAGTGCAAAAGGGACACATTGATAAAATTTGGCTGCTGAATCCCAGCCATCAATGTTCATATTTGAATCATTCTATTTCCACCATAAGATATTTTTAATTTATTTATTATTTCTTTGTTTGGTTTAATTGATATGGTGCTTTATGAGTTATTTATTTGCATGCTTTGACGAAATTAGTAGCTGATGGCTCTTTCGGACAGCACAAAAACCACATCAATCTCTTATTATTAGTGTTGTTTAAATAAAATGCTTTATAATAAGATTCTTGCAAGTGGGACTCTAGTGTGATTTATGAAGTACACGACTTTGATTTACCTAGATAAAGAATAAATATTAAAATGCATATTCTGAAAATAATTGACTTGAAAAGAGAAAAAAAAAGTCCTGAACAACTATTCGAACTTCGTGTCTGTTACATGTTTTTAAAGGGTTAATACAATTCGTAGGATAATCATATAATATTCTCATCTAATAGCGAATTCAAAAACATGAATCATTCATCATACCATAGAACAAAAGAATGTCTGTTCATTGAATGTTACAAAATTACATAGGTTTCCCATTTACCAGAAGAACCAGCCAGTAAAATAAGATAATCTATACAATTATAGGAATTTTCTTTTGTTTTATATTTTTATACTGTTTTTTAATCCTTAAAATTCTCCAAATTGTATGGTTATTATGTTGTACGAATAACCTTTTCTATAATTAGTATTTGCATTGCTGAAATGGGAATGGTTTTGTTATAGTTACCCAACAAAATATGCTTTCACTATCCACCAAAATTTTAAAGCATTCGCACACAAGCGTGGTGTTTTTTCAAAATTTATTATATTACTCACTTCTTATCACAGTTTATCTTATACACCTTGCAATACGTTTTTGAAATCATTCGAGGAAAAAAAAAGTCAATTATTTATACCATTATATAAAAATATTTTTTTCTTTTCTATTTACCCCTTAAAATATATGTATATAGAAAATATTTATCAATTTTTATTTCCCTTAAAAGTACATATGTATATAGAAAATATTTAAGAGGAATAAAAATCAAATAAAGAATTGACATACATGGTGCATTGAATTGGAGTTTGCAATTCTAGGTTGAAATAAACCTGATTTTATAAAATTAATATCAATAAAAAAAGTCTTTAATTAGTTTAGTTATATTTTGACATATTTATTTATAAAGTAGTGAATCGTGAATGAGTAGTATTGATATAAATCACTTTTAAACATAGCAATCACTAAAATGGTGATACAATATTATGTTAAAATGACTTTGTTTCCAAAATACTCAGGTAAATTTTTTATTTATTTTGATTTTGTAAAAAAATAGGATAATATATTTATGGAGATTTTGGTTTATTATAAAAAAGTATTTTTAAATTTTATATAAACTCTCACGCGTCTTATAAAGATATTGTACTTAAATACTCTAATTAATATATATTATCTTCAAAGTAAAGGTTATTAATGTGTCATTATTGTAATAAAATTTACTGAAAACATAATCTCGTTGTTACACAATAGTAAATTGGATCATATTTATTTTATTAATGAACTTACTGTTTTTTAAACACAAATGCTAATAAATGTAATTTAAAGTTATAAAATAAAATATTACTCAAATTAGAAAGGAATCGTTTCTTTATTTTTTTTTTAATTTATAATTAAAAGAAGAAGAAATAAGACGAGTAAAATGATGAAGCACGCGGATTATGATTCTGATTTTGTGATTCTTTTGGTGCAGACAAAGACATTTTATAAACACTGCTCACAGTTTTTGGATTTTAAAATAAAAAATATTTTTAAAAAACTTCCATAATGTTCTCAACAAAATTATATTGGTTGGGGTATGTTTGTGTGTTTCTAAAAAAATATTTGTGTAGAAAATTCAAAATAGAGAAGATGTTGAAGTAATTTAATTAAATAAAAAAGTAAAAAAAAATTATTGCTGACATACTTAAGTTAGTTGAGATTTTTTATAGGATTTAGCATGGTCAAACTTTTTTTAACAATATCTAGGGCAGTATTATAAGAAATATCAAAATTTATTCTATTTAAAATGGATTTTTATTACTTCACAATATTTTTAATAACTCAAAATTTGTAATTTTTTTATTTACATTGTAATTTTTTATGACCTAAAATACCATTAAAATATGAAATTAATATTGAAATATTGTTTTTGTGTTGATACTCGAAGTGTTAACTTTAAGACTTTTCTAAAATTTGTGCATTGGAGTGGAGATGGTCGACATGATAAAATAAATTAGAGGTTGAAAAAGTCTAGTCAACCCTCTAAATTTGCGTTTATGATTTCCAATCCCGTATCATTTTAATGCTCAAACTGAAAATAATTAATATCGAATTAATTGGTCAATTAAATTGTAGTTTCTACAATTTTAACCCATTAAAGTATTGATATTTTGAGTTATTTTTGTGATCGGTGTTATTATTTCTTTTATTTTAAAAAATAATATGATGCTAGAGTTTATAGTAAAACCTGTTAGAAATAACTGAAATTGTTATATATAACCATTTCCGATCTTATTGATATTATGTTAAATTTTATTTTAAAATTAATTTATGTTTGTAAAGTTTGCTAGACTCAAATTTATTTATTTTTTCTTTCTTTAGTTTTAATAAGTTTTCTGTCTCAAATTTCTCTTCTTTTAAGATTGTCAATTTCAGTTAGTTCCAAAATTGGAACTTACAATTTATTTGTTGACGAGTTGGAGACTATTTTTTTCCCATCAAATTTTAGTCAAGAATACGTGTTTTTATACCCTAAATTTCCTTAATTAATTTTATTTGAATATTTAAGTTCAGTATTAGTTAGATTATTTGAGAAAAGCGATAATCTCGTAAGTTATTTTTAATTTTGATATGGTATGATTATGCGGTGTTAAGACTTTACTTTTTTGGTCAAATTTAATTTTTCTAGTCATTACTTTTATTGCTAGTAATTTTCAGATGATAAAGTATATAACGTTTAAATTTGATTTACTTTGTTGTAATTCCCGAAATAAGTGAGCCATTTAACGAGATTGATGGATCATATATGACTAAACCTAACAATTAATTGAAAGAGTCAAATTGAGCATTATAAACTATTTTGGACAAATTGTGTTTTCTTTGAGCTTAAATTAATATTTTTTTTAACTTGTTAGATTTATTGTGGTCATTGGTGAGGTGAGTTGTTAGTTTTTTTTAATGGTGTTTTATTGCATATATAGCTTAATTAATCATTAATTTAATCTTCTCAACTGAAGGTTTTGAGTTTGAACGCTATCATTTTGAGCGATTAGTTGAACATTTAAGTGATATTTTTCAGTGTTCAAGTCATGAGAAAAAGCTTAAGTGAAAAGAAAAATGACTATCTCCTCCTTTCTAAAAGCTTCTCAATTAAGTGATGAATGACCACTAAAATGAATATCTTAGGGTTCTATGTGAATATTTGATTATTATTTCTCTAAGTTCTTAACCTAAATCATATTCAGACAATCTTATAGGAAGAACATTAGAGCAATTATAATATATCATTTGAATTTACTATTAAAACAATATCATTTTGTTTCGAGTAAGTGAATTGTTTAAATTTAAGAATGTAAGTCATTTTTAATTAAAAAATTAAATATGACAAAATATAATGGTATATTATATTGATATTGATTTGGATGATTATATTATTTAATATTCAATTATTTAGGTGTTTGAAAGAGTATATGAAGCTATACTTATTGAATATTATTAACATTTTTATCATTTCATGTAAAAGATAAGTAAACACACGAAAGCATTACTGAATTAATAATGTTTTAGAGTATTCTTTTAAAAAAAACATATAAACATGAGAGCAAAACATTCCAAAGTACTTGTGGAAATAATTTAAGGGGAAACATTCTTTTTTTAAAAAAAAAAGGAAACTATTGACCAAAAGAAGATATAAGGAAGGAAGGAAATGCTTCCAATTTTAATTTTCTTTCTTTCTTTATTTATTGAAAAAAGACAAAAAAACAAATTGCAAGTGAGTTTTATACCATTTTTACGAGAATAAAAGAGTACTTTATCTTACAAAAGGAAAAAAAAAATCAACACATTTCATTTTGACCTAGGATATCTCTAATATTTCATATATATTTTTGTTTTTTCCTTTTATCTTCATACAACTAAAAAATAGTACGTGTCTTTTTCTGTCAATTCTTTCTCTACCAAATAGGCTAAAATACTATTTTACTCTTTTTCTTTTCCACTTTATTTTCTGAACCACCAACCATACCATCAAGCACTCGAGAACAATAGAATTCGGCTCATTTTGAATATCATACATTAGTTGAGCAAACTTTAACCATTAAACAATTTTATTTTATTTTTGAATTGGGTGAAAGTCGTGATAAATAGCAAATGTATATTAATGCACAAAAGTAAGTTGCAATGAATTTCCGTATGAACCGATGATAGATTTTAGTCTAAAGTAATTAATCAAAGGGAGTATGAATATAAAAAAAATCTCAAAGCAATGAGAACACCTAACCTAATGCTTTACACACTAACCAAATATTAATTCGATTTTTGACAATAGCTAAGTCTTATTATCGCATGCTGATTTTATAACATAATCATAGCCTAGAGCGGATGTATTCAAAATAAAGGTCATAAAGCAACATAATAATGAACCCAAAAGTTCAACAACTTCCAAGCTTTGCAATTAAATATCATAAATTAAAATAACGTTTGTGGAAGAAAACAGAACAACGCTTCATTGTTCATTAAAATGGATAAATATCAGGTGTCGCTTATTTATATATATATATAATTTTGAATCTTATTTTTTGTAAGGATCCAAATTAATTTTAATTGTTGGTTAATTTTGTTTTTTATTTTTAATGATTTAAATTAGGATATCACTAATGAAGATTAAGAAGGGTAAGTGCATTAATATCGAACCATGTGGCATCGTATTTCTCTTTAGCTTTAGCAATGAAGTTTAGAGTTGACATCCAAACTAACCTAAACATATCTTCATTTTTTGTCTTTCTTTCATCTTTTTTCTTTATCTAGGTGATTC